TCAACTATTGCAAATTAACAATGTATGTAAACTACCTATTTAATGCTTACGATTTACCTTAATAAGCGTAAAGAAAGTAATATTTATCGACTACAATCGATCTATTATTCATTTAATATGAACATAAAGCCATTGATGAAGATAAGCACTGCCCTTCTAACATTCTAGTGTTGCGTCCTTCAAAGTTTACGACCATTTAATAGATTCCAGAAGAACTTTTAATGGTGCCGTAAAACATTTGAACTGCAGCCGTTAATTCTTAAAACAAATTAAGCATTGTTTCTGCAAATTATCCTCACTGTTTATAATCCTGAATACATTTTTTACAATGTTTACAAAATAATAGATAACTAGATTTTGACTAATGTTTTGTTGCTGTTCTGAATGGAATTATTGAAGTATTTTTGATAAATGAAAGAACTCAAATAACTTTTTGGTATCCCCATATACTATGGGTAACATTCTAGCCAAAAAAGTTAAACGAATTAGTTAAACTTTGATCGTGGGTCGTGGATACTAATTCTGAACTGTTTTGACGGTACTGTACTTAACCTATTTAATTTCTGAAAACTGTGAAACAAATTATGGTATTTGTGTTAAAGAAATTAAATTAAAGTTCAATATTACTCATATATTCCGTTTCAATGTTTCGTAAATGAACCGTAATATTTACTCTAAAGTAGGAACGCATTTATTCAATAAAAGTTATTATAATGCTGATGCTAATGTTTGCGGATTATTTGTTGTACGGTTCATTGCTGTTTCAGCAACAGTTTTGTTTACCCGCCAAATAATTTCCGCCTGGAGAAATGGATGCTTTTACTGCAACAAATACAATCATAAACGATAAACATCACAGTCATTTAATCAAATATTTGTTTGATATATTTCAACACGTGTCGAATTTATATGTTTTTGCCTTTTGGACTAGAATAACTTTTCTATTTCATTAATGAAATGCTTGGTGAAGAAATAAGCAGAAATATTTTTCTTACTATTTACATTAATTGAAGTACAATAAAAATGTAAATGTTTTTGAAATATGTTTTGGAAAGAACGTCCATAATCTGGGATACAATAGAGAGTACAGGTAAACAACAAAAATAAGCAGTGGGAAAATTAAAAGTAATTTTATGAGGAAATAACACATAATTATATTCATCCACTTATTTTACAATTCTTGAATTCTAATTTGCAACTAGCAACTTTACCTTCGCTTCGCATCGAAGTGGGGACAGCAGAAATCATTGTAGTTCTTGAAAACCCTGTAGGAATAGTCACACACCCAACACTGGCTAAAATAAATATATCTCAGTTGTAGCTATGTTAAATTTATTTGTTTTTGTGTGGGAAAATAAAAATAAATGATTATTGAAATATAAATAAGATCAACTTAAATGGAGCAAATGTAAAAAGTGTAAGATTTACTTTGTTGCCATTAAGCGAATCAGTATTTACTTACAAAATACTGCTCCTCTTCGACACAACACGTCCAAAGTGGGTTTAAGAACATAAATTGGCATTTATGTTACTCAAATCATTGCTCAACTTTGTATAAACTATGTTTACTAGGTTCCCTAGTCTTTGTCGTTCTCCAAAAATAAACAAAACATACTTCAAAAAACCACGAACATTTTTACAACGACATTGAGTTGTTCCGTTATTATACAACAACAAATTATATTGATAGCTTTATACTAGTATGTATTGAGGTTTCACATATCCTAACTGTTTTTACCACCTACGTAATAATCGGAAGTGTGTAAAAGCACTAATCACTCCTAAACAGTAAAGTTGTAATGTCGATGTCGCATCGCAACTTTTAACGACGGTCATAAACCATCAATAGCAAACTTGTAAATTTTAGGTTGTTTTTACGTAACAATCGCGTAAAACTTTTGCTACGCCGTTAGAATACAAAACAAGGTGTTGGGATCATAATTTCGAAACAAGTTATTACTGAAGTTTTCTTTAGTGGAAAAGTAATTTCGGGTTGGATTCATATCAGATTAAAATCACGAATGGATATTTTTTACATTTTTTGCTTTTAAGCTAACCAAAAAGTGTTTTTGTTAATATACTCGTGATAATTACTGAACATGTTGATGGTTATAAGTCGTTACAATAATTCTAGAGAGTGATACAATAATGAAGTTTTCATTATATGTATATTTATTTATCATACGGTAAACACCATTTTACAATAGATAATACTTGAGGGCAAGTTACAATAAAAAATTTATAAATATATTTGCTATATACGTCACACAATCACTTTTCTTATGTTTTGATAATCCAACACATTGCTCGACGCATTTCCAACCAACAGGAACATTTTAATTATGTATATCCATTTGCATTGTAGAACCATTTGCACAATGCACACAGCAGGAACATTTATACACAGAGTACAAGATTTCCACAGCACACAACAAAGAGTAATGCATACCTGAGTACGGACATTGTTTAATCCTCGGTTGCTAATATTGGTGTTGCATTTGGTTTATTCAGTTCACAGTCTGTTGTTCATGATGGTTGGTAAGCTTGTAGTGTATTTAGGTTAGTTCCCAGTTATTAAATTCGTTAAATTTACTAGTTGAAATTAAATTGTCGTTTAGCTTTTAATAAAGTGAGTTCTTTAAAACAAAGAAAATTCTCCTTTGTCTGAGATATCTAACTTTACTCTAGATATGTGAATCTGCAGCGTATCCTATATGCTCTTTCTAGTGTTTGTATTTTTTATGACTTCTACCTCACATAGAGGATTTCAATTACAAAATCATCTTCAGGTTGCTCTAAAACAATGTGTATAATTATTACTGTACTATTTTAACTTTCTGCCTATCTTTCGCCCAACTCCTTCCTACAATTTTCATTGTTGATGTTTAAAGTAATAACTTTTTAGTATGTACCTCTTTCTGTTTTTAAAGTTATTTTCCTTCCAAGATTTTGTTAGGGAATTTCACTGCGTTAAATTATTTTTTCAGAAATTTTCATATTTCTTGTAGCCTATACTTTGTAGTTTTCTTAATTTTCTTATAAGACCAATGTTTTTCTTATGGAGAAAAAAGAAACTGTAGTAGTTTGCTTGTTTGTGAATATGTTTTGAATACATTTAGAAAATTTGTTTCTTTCATACTGTGCTATTAATATTTTATAAAAAAACTACCTTTTCCCTTCCCGTGGCAGCAAACCTAAGCTCTCATTATATCTATTGTTATTTAATGGGGGAATAAGTCTGTCTGACATGTTTAAGGAAATCTTTTAGTAAAAATCTAATCAGGTGTTGTCATATACCTAGAAGACCTTTATAGTTTTCTTAATTTTTGTAACTCAGTCATAAAATACCTTTATACCAATTGTTATACTTCATTTTTCTATTCAGCAAAGCTTTTTGCACATAATTAACGTTTGGTACACTATAATCAAAGTTATGCGGAGTATTTCGAACAGAATAATTCCATAATGTTGTAAAATGCCGTGGGGGTTATCGTTATTATTACATTTCAATGATTAAATAATAAGAAATGCTTTGTCAAGATTACAATAAAAATCAATATTCCAAGCTGCTTGAGGCAATAAATATTAAATATCGCTGGAGATTAGCGAGTCTCCATCCAGGTTTTATGAGTGGCATTAAAACTTTCTTTAGAATCCATCCTAATGGTCGTTAAATTTGGTAATACGGAAATTCCGACATTTTACAACTCTGCTGGGAATTGATCAAACATCTTTCATAATATTACTTAGTCTGGTATAGAACCGTCGATTATAAACTCTATAGTCAATGATAGAACGTGGCTGGACTATGTAACTAAATGTATTCAATATAGATTTTTATATTCAATGAGAAAATTTTGACTGAATTAATTCGTTTAATTGACATTTGCATTCCGTCTGTAATACACTAATAACAGAGTTAGATATTATTAAGTAGCAACTAGTTAAAATGTTATTTATACCGCTCGAACTGGTGTTAAAGACTAATTAACTAGGTTAGACTACTATTATTTTCCCTCTAAACTCTATTATTTTCTGTTTCTATTCGGATTTATTTTGTACTTAATTTTCTTACATTTGTTTAAGTAATTTAGACACCTCTTTTACATCCATAAAAAGAAAAATAATAATTTCAAATTAATGTTTAAATGGCCACAGTTTGCGAAAATGTATAAAAATATGTCATAAAACCCCCTCTTTTACATCCTATAAAAATGCCACACCAAATGTAAAAATAACTTTACATGTTATAAAAGTAAATGATTTTCTGGTATTTTATATATTTTTGAAGCATATTTTGGTCTACTGAACCAAACCAAAAAGTAGAGTCCTGCAGTCATTAGTGTAAATCGCATAAGTGGAAAACTATCAATGAAGAATCGTAGATATGTAGTACTGGTACGTTAGAATGTGGTTGAATGTGTATTTAGCCAAGCAGTACGTACTTACTTATACTTTATACTTTTCATTGAATTGGTGACCATAAAGGTATTTTAAGCCAAGTATGAATGGAGATGAGTGGCGCGATCTTGTAGCCGTTAGTGACTAACAGCTGTTAATTAATAGCCCATACAGTTACAGTTTATAGTAGAATTCGAACCACATTTTTGCCTTGGTATTAACGAATTGATCTAATTATCTGGATAGTACTGCGGATAGTCGTAGTACTCACTAATGATAACGTAAATTTAGTTCTTGGAATTCTTTATACTTGGAATACAAAAAACGTCTTCATACAAAGAAATGTGAATTTTTACCAACTTCAATCCCTTTAGTTGTTATCTTGGCCAGAACTCATCGTGCATTATGGAAAGATATTTATAATTATTATTTCCAATTTCACTGGCATATCTGTGCAATAATAACGTTGTCTACGGCGTTTTATATCCTAGAATACATGTATGTTACATATAAATTTAAACTCTCAACTCCTCCCCTCTTTCTTATACCTTATCTGTTGTCATACCCTTGTATTTATCCGAACTTTAACTTTGTTGCAGACGATACAAAGGACTACGCGGCGCTTACGATGAGGTGCTTTGACAAAAGTAAGTTTACGTCATAACATTGAAGTAACCGTAGTATTAACTTAATGGCGCTGTTACCCCAAACCCGTACACTCGTAAAGCTTCCTTTAATGTTAAAACTGTTTAATTAGTGATACTTTCGGCAGCAACTGACTTAACTTTTAATAATCTAGGCTACATTAAAGAAATATCTCCATACATAAGTTACATAATTATATAATAATTTATGTGGAAATAATAACACCCGCTCAATCTCAAAAAGCTGTTATAGTTTGTTAATGCAAAGCTTTGTCCTGGCAGTTAATTACTAAAACATCCATTGTGGTTTTGATAGAAGCCGCCAGCATCGACTAAACTTTTGTTTAACGGATAGTTAATCGGTTTATATTTATATAATAACTGAATTAGCTTTTTATCAACGAGTGATTTAACTTGTTATCTTCTAGTTTCAACTTTTGTAAGTTTTGCTAATTGTAATTTTTGTATTTGCACTCTTTGTTGCAAAGCAAAATAATGTTAAAACACCTTTTAGTGTTCATGTTATTAAATTACAGCCAGGTTTACTGGTGTTTTTAAACGTTTATACTTTGTACTATATGATTTTCCAGGTAAAAATCGGGAGTTTACCTTTCTCTCGCGCAAAAGAAATCACTCAACAAAAGTAGTTGACCAAAAAAATCGTCGGGAATAGGTTTTTGATGTTTAAGATACTACAAAACAATCCCCGAGTCAATATCGACCTCGGCCGACCCTCCAGGATTTCAAAGTGTTGTAGCAAAGCTTTGGGATGCAAATACTGCCAATCCATGTCAACAAAAACAGCAATGTTTACATTTATTCTTTACATTTCTCACATTAAGTTTTACACCTTACATTGTATTCAAAATAATTGAATTTCACAATTTGTAATAAAATGTGCGTTTATTTATCGTCTAGGCATAAATTGCAATCAGTAGTTATACTTTTATTTTTTTCAAAAAAATAATTCCAAATTACTGTAATATCTGTTCTATTTGGCCGTACACCGTCGGAAGGCATGGTCGAAGTTAGATATTTGAATTGGCATAGTATGTATGGCAATAATAGGCGCGGCTGACTAAGTGTTTATAGCAAGAGAATATAAATTGAGGATTGACTTTCTATAGTATCCAAATTCAAAAATTCACTAATGGTTTTAGCTACGATGCAAAAAGTAGACCCAGTGATTCGGAACCCAACCATAATGTTGGTCTACATACTGTATCTAGAAAAGAGATAAGTCTCTCTGGCGTTAGACCTTTTCTTGTATTAAAGAACCTCTTTAAAATCCATAGATAATAAGTGACCTAGCTATACTTATAGTTATTTTTTTCTAAATCCAATGTACCGGTGTTAGACCTACTGGACCCACCCCCCTACAATTGTACAGCCACTGGTGGCCCAGGTGTGATGGAAGGGTGCCGCAGATATTAAACCTACTTCCCCTCCGTAGTCCGCAGCTGCTGGCTACACAGTACACACCGCTACAAATGTAACAATGTACAGTACTGTAACAATAATCATCAGCGTTACTGTGGCGGGGTTATTGTAGTCTACTCGACTACTCGAGTTCTGTCAATGTTCAGTTCTTTGACTCAAGTTCAATGTAAACTTACAAGTTTTTATTTTTATTTTACAACCTACATAAAACAATTAGGTGTGTTGCTAGCCTAGTGGTTAGCGCCTTCGACTTTGGTACGGGAGGGACGGGTTCAATTCCCGGCAATCCACAAATCCCAATGGGTTTGGACCGTTGTCCCTTAAAAGCGTTTAAATTAAACCAACTTTGACTTCAACAAAAATATACCACTAGTGTAGAAAATACATAATAGCGTTTTTTTGAACTTGGTTTCATTCTTTAAGCTTTCGCCTGGAAATCAATTTTTTTTCTTGTAGCTTCACCCATTCTTTGTAACGAGTTAAAATTAGATTGCTGGGTTATTATCTAGTTCTTTTAAGCTACCCTCTACTTCCATTGATCACAAACACTTAATTTTACCTTTTAAAAAAATTAAGCTTATAGTAATACCAGAAACAAAAGAACCCTCGGCCGTTTCGAGCCGCGCAGGTTTCAATGGTACGGCCCACCTACCTGCGCGAACCACGTGATCTTTTCGTTTCTGCGCAGGTTGTTTTGTTCGTGGTATATCTATAAATGTAAGCAAACTCATGTAAAAACTGTTGTTTTTTTAACACTTCGAAACATAACAATCCGGAAAAGTGGAGCCCTTATTTCAACAACTAATAAAGTAATGTAATAATTTGTGATACGTCGACTTATTACTTAATTGTTAACTGAGTGTTCAAAATACAAGCAGGTACCTTAAAAATGTTTATAACATGTATATTTCTTAACCAAGTTATATTAAACTACAGAGCATGCAAACCTTATCATTTTAACAAACAATACTAAATTTTAAAAACTTAAAAAAGATATTATCAAATATACGTGGGGAGCTAGCTGGTCTAGTCGTTGACCGCAGGGCTTTCGGTGCCCGAGGTCCCGGGTTCAAATCCCGCCAATCACCAATGCATTTTATCCATGTGATAATGCCGCAAACTACTAGTACTACTCTGAAGAATCGTGTGAAACAGTTCCAGGCTGGAACTAGCGTCCTAGGATGTGAAGGTGGGAAATAAAAAAATGTATAAAATATACACAATCTTATTTGTTTGAATTATAGTTCAGTTTAGTTCTTCAAAACGTATGCTAGAGTTTACCTAAAATTTTAGATTGTACACCCGAGTACAAACAATACATAGCCTACCTCAAGTCGGTTGAAATGCATTTTATTTCACTAAACTCTTTGTATAAACATCAATCCAACCGAAAGCGCACTCGAGACCGCATCTTTGCCGCGGCACAGTGACAGTTTTGCCAACAATCGCGCCGTAAAAGCGGCGGAAACGCATTACCTAATGGAAAGAAACAGAAACACTACGGCTTAATGTAGATGACGTCATTCAGGTAATGGCTTGTCAGAGTTGTGGGTGGACAATGTAGGCCTTACAATGTATGCTTGGCCCTAGTGGGGCTAATGTTACATGTGGGGTTGGACCTTTTAGCATTGCCTTGGGTAATTATTTGTAAAAGTTTTAAAAAAAAATATTGCATTTCGAAATTAAAAGGGCGTTTGCATTCTATAGCCTGTGTTAATGCTTAAAATAATGCAGAACTATTTCCTATAATACTGTAATAGATTTTCCTTGAAATACTCTGAGAAAATAACAGGGTTTACTAACTACTTATGGAGTAATTATAACATTTACAAACTACAGAAATATGTTAAATATTAATTATTAACAAATTCATTATACACATGAACATCTACAGCCTAAATACTACACTAATTTAGCGTCAAAACTAGTTCCAAGTGTAATACGTAGTTGTAATTAAACCATCCCGATTAAAATCAATGGACATTTTGATCTAAAAGTTGTAATACCTCATTAAAAACAAAACTTCTTTAAAAGAATTGCTTCCATGGAGGTTCTTTGCTTGTTCAAATATTAACAAACCTTTCTGGATACTTACAAACGCACTAATATTCCTACTCCTCCAATAGTTATAACAAACACCATTGTTTCAAGAAAATAAAACATATCTTAATATTTATTGCTAAACTGTGTTGTTACAATGATTTATAATCTTAATTTATTAATTACACCTACATCTGAACCATAAATTAATCAGTCTTCTATTTCGCTTGTTGGTATGAGCAAAGCTTTGGACCTAAATCAATAATATCATCAAATGGAGGGGATTTATCTGTGTATCCGTTTGTTGCAAAGACTTTTGATCCATTGGGATGTCATTTTACACAAGGTATACACAGTATCAAGAACCAGGCCAACACACATAGGCATTCTCATGTAGGGTAAGGGAGGGTAAGAGTACGCGGTCGGGTAAGAGTACGCAGGGATTTTTTGGTCAGTTGGCAGCACTGCAGGGAATTAGTTTTGTGCTAGTTCAGTGTGCCACCAACGAAGAAGGAAGCCGCCATCACGCCGAACTTCAGCTCGTCTTCGTTTGGATTTGACAAGGTAAAATGCAGTTTTTATACTTTGGCATGTAATATTTTGAACACAGAACTTATGATTTTGTGACCTGATTATAGCTTGTAGATTCCTTTGTCCCACATAGTAGCTTAGAATAGTTAATTAGGAATCGAACGATGTAAGTTTTGAGTCAGTTGCTGACAGGTGCTGGCACCTAGTGACATTTTTTTTAAATATGGTCTGGGAGGCTAAGAGTACGCAGCACTGCGTACTCTTACCCACACTGCGTACTCTTATCCTCCCTGTCGGCGATTGCTACATAAAAAAATCAATCTGCTCTTGTTTGGAGATCAATCAACTCAAATTGTCAATCTGTTCAATTTCGTTATTTAGCAATAAATTAGTAACATTTTCTTTTTTTCAGATTCACTGTTTTCTTTAAAATGGCTCCATACAAAAGAAAAACCGACAGAGTACTTTTAACCGCTGAGACCTTGGAAGAAGCTAAACGAAAACTAGAAGCTGGGAAGAGCAAGAGGGAAGTAGCTCGAGAGTTGGGGATCAACGAGTGCACTTTGCGAAAAAGGCTGAAAACTGTAAGTTATTAGCTATTTTTCTTCAGCCAAAGTCCTTGCCACTATTACTTATAAGCTACTGTACTAGATGGTATAAAGGTGCTATAATCAGAAAGTTTGTGAACATCGCTCATACTGGCCCAGTCAACAATGTTTTTTTTTTTTTGCGGAGGGACCTGTTTGCGCTACCCTGTCGTTTTTACAGACATTGTTTGTGGATTTTATCACTTTTGTGACATCTGTACGGATCACTAATTAATATCTATAGCTTAGGCTAAACTGTGTGCTTGTTGCAGGGGACAGTAGCAGAGTCACTTGGGAGATACAAGAAGGCCTTGACTGATGAGATGGAGCGTGAGCTAGCTCAACATTGCAGGGACCTTGACTCAAGATTTTATGGATTGACTAGGAAACACATAATGAAAGTTGCTTTTGACTACGCTCAAATGAATGGTGTTTCTGAACGGTTCAATCAAGAAAAAAAAAATGGCTGGCAAAGATTGGCTAAAATCTTTTTGTAAAAGAAACAACCTCTCTGTTAGGGCACCTGAAAATTGTAGTATGGCTAGGGCAATTGGTTTCAATAGAGTTCAGGTGTCTAGGTTTTATGATAATTTGAAAGAATGTTGCATTCAAAAAAAGTTTCCTGCTCACAGGAAATTTAATGTTGATGAGACAGGGTTGTCGACAGTCCCTAGTAGGACTCCAAAGGTATTGACGCCTAAAGGTAAAAAAACAGTTTGCAAAATTGCAAGTGCTGAGCGGGGAATAACAGTCACAGCAGTGTGCTGCATGAGTGCAACTGGAGTTTTTGTGCCTCCTGCACTAATTTTTCCAAGAAAAAGAATGAATCCTTCTCTTTTCACAGATGCTCCTCCTGGAACTTTGAGACTTGTGACGGACACTGGATATATGAACTCCGATCTATTTCTTGATTGGCTGAAACATTTTGTGCAGCATACAAAACCATCTGCTGATGACCCTGTTTTACTCATCGCTGACAATCACTCTACACACTGTTCCCTTCAGGCAATTTTGTACTGCCGAGAGAACAATGTCACATTTTTGACTCTTCCACCTCATGCAAGCCACATCATCCAACCTCTCGATAAGTGTTTCTATGGCCCACTCAAATCAGCATTTTCAACTGAAGCGGAAAAATGGCTTGTTCAACATCCTGGTGAAGTGATAAAGTTGAGAGATGTAGCTGGCATTTTCAAAGAAGCTTATTCAGCAACAGCCAAGATAAAGCTCGCTGAAAAAGGATTTAAAGTTACTGGTATCGAACCCTTTAATCCAGACATCATTGATGATGAGCTTTTTGCCCCATCCCTTGTCACTGAACAACCTCAAAGCCAAAATGAAGATGAGACAGCAAACCTCCAAGACCAAGTGACTGATGCCAGTAATCCAGACAAAGACTTAGCCCTACCATTGGATATCGAGTCACCTGAGGGACAGCAAGCTGCAGACCCACTGGAACTTGTACCTGAGGCACAGATAATCAAAAGTTCGACTCAAAGTTCAACTATAAAAAAGTCCATTCATTTGTTACTTCCTTTGCCAAAACGAGAGGTCATGCCAGATCAGAAAGGCAAACGCCCATCTCAAAAATCAGAAATAATTACTTCTTCACCTTTTAAAGCTAAGTTAGAGAACAAGGAAAAGGTCAAACTAAACCTAGAGAAAGAGAAATTGGAAAAAATTGAAAGAATTAAAGCTAATAAGGTTGCGAAAAAAAGCCTTTTTAAAGGATTTCAAACAGAAAAAGTTAAAAATAACCCTGCGAGCCTAAAGAAAAAGGGAGTTAATATAAAAATTGAGAAAAGCACACCTATTAAGCAGAACAAGGTTATCAAAAAAGAACCTTCAGACGTTATTCCCAAAAAAATCCTACGCCTTGATCAACCATGCTCAAGTTCAGCCCAACCGGGAACTTCCCAAGACAGGAGTTCTCAAGAAGACGTCACCGTCTGCGGTGGATGCGGAGAATCTTTTGTTGAAGACTGGATCCAGTGTGGAATCTGCAATGTGTGGTGGCATGAGACTTGCTCTGCTTATGAAGGCAGCGGACCATTTGTGTGTGATCACTGCTAGTGCGTACTCTTAGCCCATCATCCGCGTACTCTTACCCTCCCGGGAGCCCAAGAGTACGCAAATGGCATTTTTTTCTAAATAATTTTTTATTAACTTATATTTTTATATAAATGTACAAAACTTTGTACTTTTGATAGGTAATAACTAAAGCATATTGTGTGAAAATTTGAGTTTCATATACCTTATACTTGGTCATTTACAGCAAAAAATGCACTAAGTGCGTACACTTAACCTCCCTTACCCTATACAATGATCCTTTTGGGTTACACCTCTTAGATTGCTAATTCTCTGAGTTGAGCTTATGTAAGTAAATATTAATTGGTGTTTATGTCAAATAATGAAATAAACAACTGCAGTTTTTACCCGTCTATTTACATTTACTTAGTTTACATTTCACTAATAGTTATCAATTTTATCCTTCCACACAAATTAAATAAAGAGAATATAATTTTCAAATACAATATGGTTTAATTTAGCTTTGTTTCTATAATCAATGGCAGGTAGTTATTGTTTACTATAATATTCATTGGATCAAATTGTTCTTTGTTGCGAAGGACGGGTAAAGTAATGAAAGAGTAATAAACTTATACAGTAATTCAAAGTCATAATAATTCATGCAACAGCTTTGTAAAAGTCTAGACATTCACCATTCCTCTCTTATCTGTAATGTCAAACTCGTTCGTGAGAAACATATAAATACCCCCGCCGCAGCAAACCTGCCGTCTAAGCGAATTTCCATTTGGCCGAATTGATTTTCAATTGATCTATTTAAATAACAATAGGTTTAACGAGTACCTAGGTTTGCTGCTACAAGGAAACTAATAAAGTATTGTGTTTTTAGTAAAATATTGATAGCTTACTTTAAAATAAATAAATTTGCCAAGTTTGATCAAAATATATCCATAAACAAGCAAACTACAACATTTTACAATATTCTCCATAAGAATAACATGGGAATTTTAAATTTACATTTTTTTTAGTTTTCTCCGTAACCAATAACCGTACAAAAACACTTTGATATACTGAATTGTTTGTTTTTTTAAGCTCTTTAAGAAGGTTTAGAGAAAAATTGGGAAATTTTGTGTTTTGAGGGTAAAAAGTGAAAACCCCCCATAAAACCCTGTTCCCATGGTCCGATCATGCTGGATCGCGAACTCATTCAAGTTTATCCTGCCTTACACCTTCAAACCAAATTTCATCAAAATCGGATAAAAATTACTCAAGTTATCGTGTTCACGGACATATATATATATATATATATATATATATATATATATATATATATAAATCTATATATATATATATAAATCTATATATATATATATAAATCTATATATATATATATACATATATAAAAATTTTAACGAATGGTGTTTTTGGCCTCTGGGGACATTAAAATGAAAAAGTAAATCGGTCCCGGGCCTAAGTCTTACCATGAGACCAACGGTAATAGCTACTTCCCTATGGGGAAATTCGCTAAAACTGTAAGTAATGAAAAGTGGGCAAGTGACAATATTGATTTTGTTGTGGATACTGCGAATTTCCTACGAAACTAACACATGGACATAAACTAAATATACAGCGGTTTTACAAGGTAATTTCGGAAAGCAGAGCAGGAAGAGTGATCGTAACTAAAATTGTGCCATAACCGTAAAACTATATTACAAGACTCTTTTCTTATTGTTTACTTCCAAACTTTCATGGAAGTAAATAATTTATGTTGGCGTATTTTTGATACCTTCAGATGTAAAGAATTTTGTTGTTTTATAATACAAAAAAATTGTCAACACATGTACAATAAATGTATTGCACGGGTCAGTATTGTGAGCAAATTTCATTGTGTATGGATGTAGGCAAATTAAGATTGAAATCTACAAAGTATCAACAAAAAAGTGTCATTTTTTATAGTAAATGAATCATGCATAACCTAACTTCTTAAATACATGACGTGAATTAACCTTATGCTTGTTTTAAAAATGAAACCAAAAAACCTTTTGTAAAAACCAACCTGTCAGATTAGAGCGTTTGATGTCAAACTCTAAACGACGGATTAACTTAGATGTTTTGTTCAGTTGCCACATTCCAATCAGTGTTTCATCAAAAACACTGAAAGTCGCGGATGAAAATCAATGGTGTATGAACACAAAAAGCGTTTGCTTGTTTTGTTTCAAATGGCGGCAAATCCAGCCGTTCCTACACCAGCTTTGTGCCCGAGCTGCTCTCTTTACAAAGATGGACAGAGAAATACTGCAACTGGAAACTGGAATCCATATTTTAGAGAAAATCTACTGGCTTAGCGGAGTGTTTGGTATTCGTAGCTTACCCGCTCAGTGTATACATTGAGGCATGTATTGCATAATGGATCAACTTCTGCATGGGTGCTTGAAACACTTTATTTAAAGTACTTTCAAGCCACCGATAAAAATTGCGATCAAGTTTCATCGTATTCAATTCGAATATTGAACTCAACTTAGTATATTTCAATTTTCATGTAAAGAGCTAAACGTTTGTGATAATTAAATGTTGAAACCTCTTTTTAGTATGGAAAAATGGCATTTAACACCATTAAATCAGGGTTTCAATAAATAAAGCATAAATTATTATTGATTTATAGCAAGAATCTTGTTTTACAACTCATTTCGCACATTTACTATTATTATTAATCCATATTATCAATAGCATAAACGAAGACAGTAGTATTTTCGTATTTAAACTTCAGAACCGTCATTGTTTAGTAGAAGAGTAATTGTATCTCGTCGATTTGACAAGTAAACTTCATGTAAGCAATCAATCTAATCCAATAGGCTTTTCGGATTACCGACAGCTATTTGTCTCTCTGTTCGTTATTTCTTTTGATTCATTAACTCGTAATCGTTAATCAATTGTCAGTAAAGTTACAATTCAGACAAATGAGGCCGCATTTACTGATTACACTTCAACAACCGATTGTGTCTCGAGTACTGTCGACCAGTTTTTTAGCTTAGGAAATTAATTCAATAGTTCTTCAAAGGTAATATTTTAGTAACCAGAATCGTCATTGTAAAATGTACGAATTTTAAATATTGTTTGCTTATTGTGTTGAGAAATTTAAACAATTATTTTGGTAGGATCTTGAACTGTAGTGTTTTTCCGGTTTTACTTATGCTTTAATTCTTAGTCTGGAAATTTATTGCAATAAATACTATACTAAATCTATGCTTCTTGTAAAAACATTAATTTGCACACAACGGGGCCTGTCGCAGCTGTTGTGAGCGTACCATAGACTTTATAGTAACAAATTTATTTATTATTGGAGGGTATGAGGTGTGTCCGTTCAGTGAGAGTTCATGGTTGATGTTACTATGGTTGACATCAGTAACTACTAATGTTACTAATGTCAGTAGTATGGTTGTTTAGGGTTTGGTATAGTAGAATAGTTAGTTGGGAAATCTATTGTTTTGGATGGTTGGTAGAATAGGGTTGGGGAATTGCTGGATCATCTCTGGGTTGTGGGTACGGTAGAGGTGAAGGTGGTATGAAGTAGGCAGTATAGACACTTTTCTTCGGTTTCTAACACCAAAAGAGTTGTCCGTGGTAACAATGTTTCACATTTTACCGGTTCTCAGCAATGCCATGTTTCATCATGTAGCATTTCCGCAACGTCGTGCGATGTTGCTGTGTTGTTCAGGTGAGAGTGTGAGTGACCTTGCTCTTGTGTGACTCATGAGTCGTGACATTGATAGTGACGTCACCAAGTTCCAGGAATGCTACCTAGAGCGCGCCAGCCGTCAACGACACACCGTATTATGTTATCACTTTGCCGACACCACTAGTATGACTGACTAGTATGTACCAGCGCGTTGTGCGTAGTACACTCCCATTCGATCTAGTCATTCATTATCCTACCACGTGATCTCGTAGTGCGCTTAGTTGTGTTTGATTATCTTTATTATTAGTTTAGTGCAAGTGCTTATGTGATTTGTGTTATCTCTGATGTTCTACATTTTGGACCTTTGATTGTAAGTATGGACATTCATTCATTTTCCATCCATTCCTTATTTTAAGTTTGTAAAATGAGATGATCTGAGCAGCGACATCACTGTCAAAAATCTACCGTTTCTTTAGCCAGGGTCAGCAAAATGCTGTTGACTTGTACTGATTACATTTGTTTGCATACAGTATTTTGATACATATAGTTTATATGGTACAAAATACTTTTAAATGCATCTTCAATTTACCAGGAAGTAGTTTTAAAACACATTGTTAACATTCGAATGTGTATTACACTTGTTACAAAGTACAACAACTTGTTATAGGCACGTTCTAGTAGCCATGTTGGTCAGGATCTAGAATAAGTCAGTACTGGGTGTCGTCCTGCCTTTGCAAGTTTATGTTAGGTTGTGTAACCTAATTACCACAAACAGCCATAAAACTAACCAAACCTACCCGAATTAAATCGAAATTGCCTATAAATCTAAATATACTAGATCACTCGACTGTTTTATTCTTACAATCCGTATCCAGCATATCAAATTATTTATTCCTTACTATCCTTTGCGTGATATGTTTAGTAAACAAGTGGCGTAACTTTTACTTTCTAATTCTTGAGTATTGCATTTTTGGGGTGGCCTGGTACTGCGGGAGGTATTTTGAGATTGAAGGCTTTTACAGGTTTTCCACACAAAAAATTCTTAATTGTCACTGGCTTTTGTTTTAAACCATAGAACCGAAATTTCTAACCATTTAGACCAGGTAAGCTTATGTGACTAATTTACGTGATACCGTTTATCTGTTCCTGGAAAAACAGTTTCATCTGATTATATGACTATCTTAAGAATTTCTCAACGAACAACCTGCAAACAAACTATGAGTCATCTTACACGTACCATTAACAGTTGATAATTTCTTCCCTTGACGACTACAAAAATTATTCCATCATATTAAATTATTAAATATATGACTACTGAGGTTTTTACTACGTTTTTCCTTTTGATTAACCAGCACAAGTGATATTTGGCATTAGGAAAAGAATATTTCAGATGCAAACTTGTATTATTTTATCATTGAAATTGAATATACACTCATTACACACAGTAATCGTTACGAAAATGTAAATGACACGATTGTACGTGATTTTACTCAACCATAAACTGGTATTTTTTATAATGTTATCAAAAATACCCCATTTATACCTCATGAAC